ATATGATTTATATAAACAATTTATGATATCTAATTTTTAAACATATGTATCTCAATCAATTTTTAACCAATTTTAATAAATTTACTATCATTAAAATCAGAAAAACATTTTACAATTTTTAATTAATATTTAAAAGCTGTTTATTTAAGAAAATATTTTTCTATTTTTAATTAAATAAAAATTTATCAAAAGTTTTATATATAATTTAAAAATCATATACTCTACTTTTAAATTAATATCTAAGTTAGATTAAAATATAGTCACATTCTCCTAAGTGCACTTACCTTGGGACTATAATAAAAAAAAAAGCAAAACATGTACTTAGAGAAAGTGTACACTTAGAGAGATTAAAATTTATAGTTATTATATTATTTGGAACCAAAAGGGAGTGTGTACTTAGAGAGGTTTTTCATATACTGTGCACTTAGAGAGTGTAGCTGTAATTATAATCTTGCTAATAGTGATTCTATTACATTACTACTTGCTAACATCTACCCTTACCTTAACATAAGCTTTTACCCTAATCTTAATAAAACTCTACAACATTTAAATTTTGATCTGACATATATTTTAATAATGCACAATATTACTAAGGTATATTTACTATTTAATTAAAATAAAATTTTAAAAAAAAACTTATTATTAGAGATGCAATTTACTATATTGCAGAATCTTAAAATAAAGTTAGTAAAATAAGAATAATGAATTGTTAAAAAAAAACTGGAATCTTGCCCTCTATTAATTATAAAAAAATACAATATATAACTAGCTCTTATAATACTTTTATTAAACAAGAAAATAATAATATTAAGTTGTCAGTTGCTGATTTGGACTCATCAGTTCTGCCTCAGATTAACAAGTTTCTTGAACTTAATAACTTGTATATTCCTACTGTAGAAGAATTAAGTGATACTAAAATTGTTAAGTTAGTAATAGCAGAACAGCAGCATAAAGAACATAATTCAAATAATTTAGATAAAGAGCCTTTAACAATTCCAGCTTCAAAAGGATTAGTGGATCTAAAAAAATTTTTGGAGTTTTTTGAGTAACAAACAGATCAAAATTTTAAATCAAAAGATTTAGATATTTTTCAAAAATATTTACCTATAATGAGGCATAAGGATAAAGAATCAAAAAAGCAAAATTCTATTATAGATTTTTTTATATTTGAAAAAACAAGTTGAAAAGGTAGTATTAAAAAAATTCAGAACAATCACTTTTTGAATTATTTTTTAGTACATTTCTTAATTTCTAATAATTTTTTTCATTTATAGTATATGTAATTCTTTATGTCTATTTTTGATAAGTCCTATCATAATTGTTTACTTATTCATTTTGCTTAAATAGTTCTTTTTATTACTGTATCTATTTTTTATTCAACTATGCTATTAATTTTTAGTAAGTAACTATATGTTTATAGCATTTAATTCGACTCATAATTATTTATTAGTAATCTTATACTAGTTAGAAATAATTCACTTATGCAATATACTTTTAGTAAGTTCAGATAATAATTCATATTTCTTTTTTTTTTAAGGTGACCTCTTTGGTCTTTTGACTTTATTAACATATTTTTAGGAATGTAGTTCCGTAAGGAGCTACTACAGGAAGAGTGTACAATTGGCCACTTGTGTAACTTTCTATATTACCTATTTAAGGAGTCCGCCTAATGTTCTCCACCAATTGCTGTATCTAACACCCCTGCTTGGATGTTTCATTTAAACCCTCTGAACCTGTCCCATGTTACTTCACCAGGTCAAGCCTGGATCCTTCGTCTCAACCTTAGGACAGTTATCCTCGAGGTAAACCTTCCAGAGCCTGCTGTTTACCCATTTTTGCAGCTGACCCAGATATCGCTATAGCAGAACCAACACTTGCAGTTAGGGCTAACTGTTAAACTGCTATGCCCTTGTAGAGTTCACACAGACCTCAGTACCTACTTCACAGTATATTCCTAATACTTTAGTATACCCCTGCTTCTTTTACCAAACTCCCAATCCAGATAGCTCGTGTAGGACTACGACCAGTCCATCAGTGTATCGGGTCAGCCTGATATTTTTTTCCTTTGGTCCAATCTGGCAGTCTGGTTGGTGGTACCTCCAAGACTCCCAACTCAGAGGTTCTTGCTTGTCTAGCTACTTTGGCATTGGTATTTGTTTCTTAGATCTAGCCTTTACAGTGGTACCATCAAAGATTCATATTACCTCTCTACTCGGGTCTTCCCAAATGGGCTTCTTGTTCTCCAATTTCTATGAATTTATACGGCCACAAGGACTTATCTTGAGTTTGCACTGCCTGATTTGTTGGTTTGCATTCTTTTGTGTAACAAGTTACACAGATGCCCCATGTCCTGCCAGTTATGTTTGTGCAACCATAATTACAGGTATCTTAACCCAATCGTTAAGAACAATTGCCATAATACCAGATTACATAGATGATTATCCAAATTTTTGTCATCGATAGGATTTGAACACCCAACCTGCCACTTGGAAGGTTGACAACCTAATCACTTTACTAGGTCACCACACCCCTTCAAATTTTATTTAAAAATAACTTTATAACAACTATATATATAAATTTTATTAAACTATATAATCATTATATATAGTATAATAGTTTATTAAATTACAAATTCTAATTATACAAATTACATATTTATAATTATATTTTTGACTCAAAAAAACACCTATATACATCTCAAAATAACATGCACCTTTAAATACATATTGGATTGAAAATTTTAAACTAAGTACATTAATAAACATAGATAACCTAAATTTGTCAAGATGATTCAAATTACTGTGCATATACATTTCAAAATAATGTGCAGAGTCTTGAAATAACATGCACCTGCATGTTATTATGTGCAAATACGATAGTATTAATAAAAACTTTGAAAATTCTAAATTATATTTAAATAATTAAATTCAATTTATAACTGTAACCCAGCTCATAGAATACTTCAATGACATCAGTAAACTCAATTCACCAAGAATTAGTAGTATTATAGGTCCTAAGTTTGAAAGTACTTGATTAAATATATCCAATTCACAATACCCAAGATTTCTAAATAAGCCTATTATATAGTACTAATGACTGATTAAATTAAATAAACCTGATTCAAAATACTTAGTAAAAATAAGTTTTTGAGAAATATATAATCAAAATTGTCAAAGAAACAAAGTTTATAATACTAATGACCTGAATTAATATGAATTTAATTTATAACTGTAGTCCAGCTCATAGAATATTTCAATAGTCTCAGTAAACTCAATTTACTAAGAATAAGTATCATCATAGACCCTAATTTCAAAAGTACTTGATTAAATATATCTGATTCACAATACCCAAAGATTCCTCAATAAGCCTATTATATAGTACTAGTGACTGATTAAATTAAATAAACCTGATTCAAAATACTTAGTAAAAGTAAGTTTTTAAGAAATACATAATCAAAATTGTCAAAGAAACAAAGTTCATAGTACCAATGATCTAAATTAATATGAATTAGATTCATAACTGTAGCCCAGCTCATAGAATACTTCAACAGCCTCAGTAAACTTAATTCATCAAGAATTAGTATCATCATAGACCCTAATTTCAAAAGTACTTGATTAAATATATCTGATTCACAATACCTAAAGTTTCTCAATAAACCTATTATATAGTACTAGTAATTAATTAAATCAAATAAACCTGATTCAAAATATTTAATAAAAATAAGTTTTTGAGAAATGTATAATCAAAATTATCAAAAAAGCAAAGTTCATAATACCAATAAGCTGAATTAATATGAATTCGATTCATAACTATAACCCAACTCATAGAATACTTCAATAGCTTCAGTAAATTCAATTTACCAAGAATTAGTATCTTTATAGGCCCTAATTTCAAAAGTACTTGATTAAATATATCTGATTTACAATACCTAAAAACTTCACAATGAGCCTATTATATACTACTAGCGACTGATTAAACTAAATAACTTGATTCAAAATATTTAGTAAAAGTAAGTTTTTGAGAAATACATAATCAAAATTGTTAAAGAAGCAAAGTTTATAATACCAATAACCTGAATTAATATAAATTCGATACATAACTGTAACCCAGCTCATAGAATACTTCAACAGTCTCAGTAAACTAAATTCATACAAGAAATTGAGTATTAGAGAAATAAAGTTGAAAGTACTTTGTATTTAAGTATATATGTCGCATCTGAAGTAGTGATTCATCTAAAGTAGCTACTTTATATATCTAAAGTAGCATTCTGGCTAAAATTAAAATCTAATGCATGCATGAAGATCTAATGTCAGGGGCTTAATTTTAGGGATATCCTTATGTTCAGAAAATTCTGAGCTGCTGGCCAAAAGAATATGGGTCGTAGTATCTCAAAAATTCACTATATATCTAACATTAAAATTGTGTTTTATAAGTAAAATTTCATTCTGAAAACTTTTACTTAGAGGTTGGAAGTTAGTTATCATAGTAAAATTTTGTGTTATTTGTGTTTTTTTACAATTTCTTATGTTTTTCGCATTTGTTTTGTTACACAAGATCCTGTGATTTTATTGGATCCGGATATGGTCGGAAGTGATCTTCAGCCCGGGATTT